GGCGCGTTTTCACGCTGGGCAGATGCTCACGAACACAGGCAGCCTTCGCTGAGGGGCGCCACGGGGACCGTACAGGCATTGGCTGATGGACGCGTTCTCCTCCTCGGTCGGCGGCCAGGCAAACGTCGCCCGTTGCACCGACGGCGCCTTCGATTCAGGCCGCTTTGGTGTCCACGAGAAGCTGGCCTGCGCTCTCGCAGGAGTGGCAGTGGCAGTGGTGGTGGTGGCGGCTCTAGGAGGCGTCAAGTACGGAGCGGCTGGTGGCCTCATGGGTATGGTCGTGACGCCGGCTGCCTGCAACGATGGGTGATAGGTTCTGGGGCTCGCCTGCATGTTGGGACCGGCACTCTGCACTGATCGCCCGCGCTGAAGTTCCACCTGCATTGTACGACAGGAAGCAGAACAGATATGGATCTGTCTTAAGTGGCATAATCACAATATATAAACTTAATCACAAGAACAGACATACATAATATAAACGCATCACCAGAGCTACACTGATATTCGGTACTCCTATTATGTCTTGCCAACCAAAAAGAGGCAAGTGATAATTAACAGTTATGAACTCTAAAGTCTACAATTACATCTAAAAATGTTAAGGCCTCCATTGATGCATATAGGATAGTAATATCAATAGAAAAGAGATGTGATGTAATTTATAGGATAGGAATTTTTCTATTGAGTCAAGGCTAAATTTTTTTCTATGAAATACAAAGGATTAACTCCTTTCCTATAAAGGAATATGATTCTATTCCTACAAAACAAAGGGCTTCAAAGAAAATTTTCCTGTGACATTCTTAATTCCTACAAAATTCAGACCGGGTGGGCTGGGTCTATCAGAGTCCCACCTGGCAGCTGTCCCGCAAACCTTCTCCAGGTTTGCTTCCGGTTTATGGAAATACGGACGTGCGGACCGACCGGTCCACGGAAGTCTGATGAACCGCGTTGGAGGGCACTCACAACCTCAATATCGGACTCATAAAATTCCACCGCAAAAGGTGTTGAATCACTTTGGTGAATCAGCTCGGAATCCTACGCAGGGTTGAGACTGATTCAGAGCAAGCTACGACGACGCCTTCTAGGCCGGAAAAGCCATCTGCTCAAACCAGTTTGGTTCTGGATCGCAGAGGAGCTCCAGAAATCGTTGGAGGGGGATTTTGGAGAAGTTTGATGCGATGACGACCAATGTGAAGGTGAACAACAAGGACATCAGTGATTTGCGGCTGTAGATCGACGACTGTCGTTGAGGATATCGACGGCGTCAAGAGCCGCCTCGGAATCAAGGGACTGTATTACTGGCACGGAATGAACCATTGATCCCAGGTCACCACATAACCAAGTTTTAGATACCAAGATAACTAACACTGTTGTATTGTGACAACAATTTCAGAGTTTCAGAATGTTCATCAGCCAAGATAACCAACTTTTAGATACCAAGAAACTGTTAGATTATAAACAGGAACAAAGCATCTATCCCTGAATGGTTTAAAATAACATGTCCTTAATATACTCTGTTATTTTATTGTAAGACTGAAGTTGACAGTTGTTATCATTTTCAGAAAGTGGCTAGCAACAATTCGCAAATGGTTCACTTCTGAAAATATTCATGAGGCATCCCTAAAATTGTTTTGTCAGAAATTGGGTAGCACCCAAACAAAGAAAAGAAAGACGAGTCTGAAAAACAACATAGTATTTTCTGCCATTCCTTGAACAACAAAGAAATCTTTTAACAGTAAGCAAAAGAGAAACTGCGGTTGAGCCTCGTTTAGAATTTACGCAGAGAGTATAACCAAACAAAAAAAAATCATGTGACAAGTTCAGAATTGCAAAGGCACCATATAAAATCAAACACATTTAAATCTTATCTAAATCCCGCGGTACGAGCAATATTTACCTCAGAATGTCTTGGATTCATGGCTTGCACCACACAAGACTCCTTCCCATATGAAAACTGCAGAATCAACAACAAAAGAGAAACAACTCATCAGATTATGCATATCCGTGGGCAGCCTCATTCAAGCCCCCTCAAGAAATCTACTTTCCACAATCAGTTCCTTTACAGGCATGATTTGGTATTACTAATTCCAGACTACGAACTTGGCAAGGGTGGGGAAAACTTCCCCATCCTTTTATTGTCCACATGTTTCCTCCTCCTCTTTTTCTAAAACAGAAAAACTCTCCCCTTATTTTGGCTTCCAGATGGATAAATACAGGAGTTTTCGTGCACCATTGGTAGGATAGGACATAGGACTACGGGTCAACTACATTCAGCTAGTCAGTACCACACTTGTTGTACTCCCAAGTCCTAACAAACATTGTGAGTGTTAGATAACGTTTATACGTAGCTTCTGTGTATACCCTGTATCTTGTATTTATGCACTTTGTGTACCCTTATATATATATGAGAGGTAATATCACCGTAAGTCATAGAACTTGCGTTCAATGTTCAGTTTGGTGCTACAATTTTAAAAATACGGATTTGTTGTCATCTAACTTGATATCGCGTGCAAATATGGTCACAAAATACGCGTGCTGACGTATCAGGATGTATGGCCCCACCTGTTAGTGAGTGGTGGCGCTCAGCTTACTTAATTGTTGCACAAAACACCCTTACATTTTTTAATTTACGGGAAAAGCCAACCACACTGTACTGCATATAGGTACGTAAATGTTTGAATTCAGCATTTTGCATAATTTAAATATAAGTTGCGAGTCTATACATTTTGGATTCGTTAAACATATTTATTTAACAAACATTTTCAATGTCGGTATTAACTATTTTTTTATATAATACACAAGTGTATATTTAAATGTTTTTATGTACTAATGATAGTTTTTATGTATAATATTCTTAGAACATAACTTTATTAATTACGTTTTACAAATATCTTGAAGAAATAGCAAATGCAAAATGAGCCGCAATATGTTAAAAAATAAGCCATCAGCGCGATCACCTTCCGAAAGACACGCATCTTGTGTATACTGCCAGAGAGAGCCAGCCAGAGTAACAGACGGAGAAAGAACAGATTTCCATGCATAGGAGCTTGATTGATGAAATGTCCCTGTATTTACTGCTATGTCAAACCATCCTGATGTGCAATTAGTATCACTTACATTGTTTTACCACTCCACATGTAAGTACTGTGTGTTTCTTAGAAGAAAAAACTTGTAAGTACTGTGTTGATGGCATTATATGTTGATCTTAATGCGTCAACCTACCTGGACATGACTTCTCGTCCTGCTTAACGGAATCACTGTAGCAGTGCGCGCCTCTACATGTTTCAGGTAAAATAGCTTAAATGGGCTGCAGATGTACATCCACTGCTCATAGATGCAAAAAAATAAATATCATTTAAGCTCTCAGTACATCTAACTTAGCTATCCATACGTTACATGCAAACAGGGATGGCTTGTTGGCTAGAGTGGCTTCTGTGGTGAACATTGGTCGTGGGTTGGATTCCAGGCTCTCCCCCATTTTTCACTAATTTGACTTTTTGGAAATAAAAAAATGTGAGGGTGTTTTGTGCAAAAATAAGTCCATCATGCGTCACCACTCACTAACAGGTGGGACCATACACCCTGATACATCCAAATGCATATGTTGTGACCGTATTTACACGCGATGTCAAGTTAGATGACCACAAATCCGTATTTTCAAAGTTCTAGCACCAAACTCAACATCGAGCGTAAGTTCAATGACTCTTGGTGATATTATCTCTATATATGAGATAGCCACATCCGTATTGGGTGTCGAGCAGTTTCCCAAACCCTAGTTTTTACATGGTATCAGTTTAGGTTTCGATCGCTTCCGCTCTGCCCCGATCGCCCTCGACCCCGATCGCCTCCGATGCCATCCGGCCCGGCAGCCGCCGCCCTGGCCTCTCTGTTCCTGGCCTCTCGGCCACTATTTCCCTTGGTAGGCGCGCCTGGTCCGCTGCTGCCCCGCCGTCGCCGTCTTTGCCAAACGCGGCTCTACGCGGCCGCGCCCACGGTGCCGTCGCGTGGCCCGCGGCTGCATACGGCGCCCCACCCCCGGCCGCATACGGCGCACTACCCCCGGCCGCATACAGCGCAGCAGCCCCGGTCACGTACAGCACGTCACCCGCGGTTCCACACAGTGTGTCGCCCGCGGATTCCTACGACGTATTTGCGGCGCCCTACAGCGTTGCACCGGCGATCTACGGTGGGTACCAGCCGGCTCCTCCGATCGCACTGTACTATGGTGCATCTGCTCCGTCCTATGGTGCTTCCCCGGCACCGTATCCTCCGCCTGCTGCGGCTTCTTCGATCATGTCGCCGGCGCCTGGTGGTGGTCCGCATCAGGGCTACTACGCGCCACCTCTGTCGGATCATGTCGCCGCTGCTGCACCGTTCTACTTCACGCATCTCATCCCGGTGAAGCTCACGAGGGATAACTATCTGTCATATCTGTCGTGGCGTGCACAGGTGTTGCTTCTTCTCCGCAGTCGCTACTTGGAGGGCTTTGTTGATGGTACTCTGCCGTGCCCTTCGCCATATCATCTGGGGCATCATGCGTGGGTGGCTCAAGATCAAGCCATCCTCTCTGCTATCCAGTCCTCTCTCGCGAAGGGAGTCTCGTCGCTGGTCATCTTTGCCGCTACGTCTCGGGACGTGGACGACTCTTCATACCAGTTTTGATTCGCAGTCCCAGACGCGTGCTCATGCTATTTGCACTGCGCTTGGGGAGGTGAAGCTTCATGACCTCATTGTCACTAACTACTTCAACAAGGTGACGAGTATGGCTGACACACTTGCTTCCATCGGCAAGGCTCTTGGTCCGGAGGAGTTCACCTCTTATGTGCTCAATGGACTGGGTGACGACTATGATAATTTGGTGGAGAATATCAATGGTCGTGACACTCCCATCCAGCCGCGTGAGTTGTACGCGCATCTCCTTGCCACGGAACAGCGCATTCAGGCTTGCCGCTCTACGCCGAGTTTCCCTTCCGCCAACGCCAAAGCGCATGGCAAGGGCAAGCCCTACAAGCAACCAACTGGTGGCAAACCTCCGTCGGCCGGGCCTAACTCGTGGAACTACACCACCTCTACGGGCGTCCGAGTCTGTGCCTGCTGCCTCTTATGTGGTGCTCAGGTCCCCTGCTAGCTGTGTGGGCTTGATGGTCACCTTGCTTCCCGTTGTCATCGTCGCTTCAAGCAGGATTTTTTTGGGGATCGAAACAATGGCAAGGGTAATGAGAAGCAGGCTGCCCTGGCGAGTCATGAGCAGGGTCACACTCCTTCCTATTATGTTTATGCATCGTGGTACATGGATACGGGAGCTACCAATCACCTGACGAGTGAGATGGGCAAGCTCTCTACACAGGAGCCGTACCGTAAACATGATCAGGTTCGCATCGCTAATGGGGAAGGTATGCACATCTCACATATTGGTCAAGCATCACTTCTTACACGTCGATCCACACAATTACGTCTTCTTAATGTCCTTCATGTTCCCTCTGTTTCACGTAGTTTGCTTTCACTTCCTAAACTTACTCGTGATAATAATGTTCTTGCTAAATTCCATCATTTTCATTTTTTGTTAAAGACCGAGACACGAGGGACGTACTTCTTAGAGGTCGACTGCACAATAATGGTCTCTATGCACTTGATGTGCCACCAGCTCAGTGCTTTCGGCGGTGTTCGTGTGTCTTCATCACATTGGCATGCGCGCCTTGGTCATCCTGCCACTCCTATCATTCGCCATGTACTTCATCAGCTTCCAGTTGTGTCCAATAAACATGTTGATGCAATTTGTGATGCCTGTCAGCAAGGCAAGTCATCAACTTCCTTTTTCTGAGTCGAGTCGTGTAGTCAATAAACTGCTTGAACTTGTGTTTTTTTGGATGTATGGGGCCATGCCCAAACCTCTGTTAGTAGTCATAATTACTATGTCAGTTTTATTGATGCTTACAGTCGGTTCACTTGGCTTTATCTTCTTAAACACAAGTCTGATATGTTTAATGTTTTCTTGCAATTCTAAGCGCATGTTGAGCGTCTGCTCAGTCACAAAATCATTCATGTGCAATCCGATTGGGGAGGGGGTGTTAATTTCACAACCTCAATGCATTCTTTAATAAGCTTAGAATTACACATCGTGTGTCTTGTCCTCATACACATCAGCAAAACGGTGTAGCTAAGCGTAAGCATCGCCATATAGTTGAGACTGGTCTTGCTTTGCTTGCCCATGCCTCCGTTCCTTTCCGATTTTGGAGTGATGCGTTTTCCACCGCATGCTTTCTCATTAACAAACTCCCTACACGACTCCATCAGATGAAACACCACTTGAACTCTTGCTGAATGAAATTCCTGATTATACGTTTCTCAAGGTCTTTGGGTGTGCGTGTTGGCCACATCTTCGTCCATATAACCAACGCAAGCTGGAGTTTTGGTCTAAACAGCGCGTGTTTTTTGATTATAGTTCTCTTCATAAAGGGTACAAGTGTCTTCATGTTCCCTCTAACCGCGTCTACATCTCTCATGATGTGGTGTTTGATGAGAATGTTTTTCCTTTTTCCGCACTTCCGGTCACCTCCACCACTCCCATTGCACCTGAGAAATCTGTTTTACCTTTGTTTGGTCAATTTGTTGATGCTGCATATACCCCCTTGTTGCTACCTAACCATGGTGCAGGTACTGGGCGAGGAGAACACCTCGAGCTTCCGGATGAGCAGCCGCCTGCGTCCCTTTGGACGTCCATCGAGCCCGCTCGCGACGCCCCTCTGTCACCTGGCTCGCCGACGGGGCTGGTCGAGCTAGGCCCTGCCACCTCGGTCCAGCATGGGGCTAGCAACGCGTTGGCCGAGCCGGCCAACCCGGTCAAGCTGGTCGAACCAGCTTCGCCTGAGCCAGCCTCTGTCGCGGGGGCCGAGCCGGCGTCCACGCCTTCCTTGCCAGGCCGGTCGCCTAGCACGACTGGCTCTACGTCTGGGGAGTGGTCTGCATCGTCATCGCCATCTTCATCAACTCCGTCTCCGCCGCCACCTCCGCCACTTACCGCTATTCTGCGTCCTCGTATGCGCAGTCATAGTGGTATTGTTCGGCCGAAGGAGCGCACTGACGGCACGGTTGTGTGGATTGCGGCGTGTATGGCACAGACAGATGCTGATCCCACTGCTGAGCCTGGGCATTTTCAGGCGGCTCTTCGAATTCCTCATTGGCGCAGTGCCATGGAGCAGGAGTTTCAGGCACTACAGAGGAATGATACTTGGCGCTTGGTTCCTCCTGTGTCTGGTGTCAACATCATTGACTCCAAGTGGGTGTTTAAGGTAAAGAAGCATGTTGATGGTTCTATTGAGCAATACAAGGCATTGTTAGTGGCCAAAGGGTTTAAACAATGGTATGGTCTTGATTATGAGGATACCTTCAGTCCAGTTGTCAAACCTACCACCATTCGTCTGCTTCTGTCCTTGGCTGTTGCCAAAGGGTGGTCTCTGCGTCAACTTGATGTTTGGAATGCTTTTCTCCATGGGGTCTTGGAGGAAGAGGTTTACATGCAGCAACCTCCAGGTTTTGTTGATTCTGCTTGTCCGCATCATTTGTGTCGTCATGTTGAGGCGCTTTATGGACTTAAGTAGGCTCCTCGTGCATGGCATGCCTGACTTGGCTCGGTTCTTCGACGTCTTGGATTTGCTCCGTCCACTGCCGACACGTCTCTGTTCCTGTTCCATCGTCCTGAGGTTACTATGTACCTGCTGGTTTATGTTGATGACATTATTCTTATTAGCTCCTCAATGACTGCCGTTGATCGTCTGATGTCTGCTCTGAGTGGTCATTGCTGTCAAGGATCTGGGTGCTCTCCATTACTTCCTTGGTCTGGAGGTTTCACGGTCCCCTACTGGCCTGACTCTCACTCAGCATAGGTATTCCTTGGACTTGCTGCGACGTGCTGGTATGTTGCAATGCAAGCATGCTACCACCCCTATGTCTGCGACTGATTGGTTATCAGCCTTGGATGGTGCCTTGCTTCCTTCAGATGATGCTACAGAGTACCGCAATATTGTTGGTGGCTTGCAGTACTTCACTATCACACGGCCGGACATCTCCTATGCGGTAAACCGTGTGTGCCAGTATCTTCATGCTCCTCGGACTTCACACTGGTCAGCTGTGAAGCATATACTGCGTTATCTCTCTCATATTGTCTCCTATGGCTTGCATGTTCAGTCTACCTCCTCGAGTGCTCTCTCGGTGTTCTCTAACGCAGATTGGGTTGGGAGCCTGGATGATCGGAGATCAACGGGGGGCTATGCTATCTTCTTTGGTCGCAACTTGATCGCTTGGAGTGCACGCAAGCAGGCCACAATATCTCGGAGTAGCACTGAAGCAGAGTACAAGGCAGTTGCCAATGCCACGGCTGAGCTCATTTGGGTACAGTCTCTGTTGAGAGAGTTGGGAGTCTCTCAAGAGCAGCCACCGGTTCTTTGGTGTGATAATATTGGTGCGACGTATCTTTCATCTAATCCAGTTTTTCATGCTCGTACCAAGCACATCGAAATTGACTATCACTTTGTGAGGGAACGTGTTGCACAAAAGCTTCTTCATATCAAGTTCATCTCCTCCAAAGATCAACTTGTTGACATCTTCACGAAGCCACTTCCACAACCTCAGTTTGAAGGTTGTAGGCGCAATCTTAACTTGCTTTGTACTTCAGGCCACAGTTAAGATTGAGGGAGGGTGTTAGATAATGTTTATACATAGCTTCTGTGTATACCTTGTATCTTGTATTTGTACACTTTGTGTACCCTTATATATATGAGATAGCTACACCCGTATTGGGTGTCAAGCAGTTTCCCAAACCCTAGTTTTTACAGCGAGCAACTACATAACATGGTTTCCAGTAAGCAAAGCGTGCAAGCTTATTCGATGTACTCTTGGTCTGCCTTGATGAACTCCTAAAATGCTTTAATCTACTGAAACAATTGCTCCCAAATTTTCTTTTCATTTCCTATAACTTCTCGGTTTGCATTGGCTCTTTTCTCACTACTTGTCCAACTATAAAGCACCTAATCTCAACATTCCTTTTTCCCTATTTGTAAACAGGATTAAAGCATAGCATGCAAAGTGATCTACCATACATCATTGTCATAAGTCATAACCCCTTTTTAAGAACTTAATTTTAAAAATCTTCATTAACTATTTAAGTCATGACTTAACTTCGTTTTCAGATTCATCAATGATGTTTATTTCCGTTAACACCACGCAATCTTCCAGACCATAAACCATACAGTTTTGCTAAAGCACAATGCGACCATGAAACCATAGCTCAACCAAACGCATCCGACAATATCACGGAAACAACATGACGAGCTCTCCCAAACACAAGCCGACAACAAGTGTGAATCGATTACCTGGAGACTGGAGCCGTGGCGACCGCTGCCGCCCGAGCCAGGGGAGTTGGTGTGGACCAAGCGTAGGTCAGTGAAGGAGGCGTAGCGCTTGGGGCCAGGGCTGAAGCCGTCGGCAACGAGCACACCATCCATGACGAGGACATCGTCGTCGGTCGTAGGCGACCCTAGTGGAGAGCCATGAAAGAGGAGGCGCCCCATATTCGACATCGGAGAGAACTCGGGGTAGACACGGTGGTGACTGTAGCGGGGGTGCGGTTCATCTAACGAGAGGTCCAACCCTCCGGAAGACGACGACGACGAGGACGACCTCCCGCCATGACCGTCACCAGCAGCATCGTTGAAGGCCAGCATGAGGCGGGTGCCTGTCAACGGGGCCGACATGCGGCGGCGGCGCCTCGCTGACGCGTCCACTGATTGGCCGCCACTCCCGCCGCTGCCGGGGGTTGCGCCGACGCCGAGGTGGCGGGGGTCCATCGCTGCAGCGGAGGAAGCGGATTAGTGTTGCAGATTAGCAAAATTGCAGAAACGCGGTACTAAATGTCGACAATATACACGCGAAACAGTGCAGAGATCGTGATTTGTATCGGATCGCGTGGCCCAGCCGAAAATGGCTGAAGATTTTCCGTAACCTGGTTCGATTTGGCAGAGAGGGGATACCGGAAATTCAAACCATCAAAAACGTCCAACAGAACCGCACGAGCCCCCCTAAAAACACCAGTACGACTGCAGAAGTCAATCAATTCCAAGTCCAAGCGAAAATGGAGATTGAATTCATAAGCAACTGGATACACACCCAAAACGAGAACCCCTTAAACAAGTACCAGAAAGTATTTCCCCCAAATAAAATCCCCGAATGTACGAGAACACAAGCATTCGGATGGAGCGAGCGAAGCACCTACCAGTGGTACTGCGGGCGTACCTTGCAGAGCCCACACCGTCGTTCGGCGCTCGCTCTCGCCGCTGGGGTGGTTCGGCTTCGCCGGAGGAGGGAAGAGAAGACGAGCCGCGGAAGGGGGGAACGGAGGTGGATCAGGAGCAGCTTCTTTTTCGATTTGTTTTTTGTTTTACGGAAAGGAGAAGCATAAATACGCGCGGCGCCTCTCAGCTATGGGTTTGAATTTTCAGCTGTGCACGCCGGCGGCGGAATCAAATGGATTGATTTCATTCGTTAGGTCGAGATCTCTGCGTCCTCCTTAATTTTGTTTTTTTAGCTTAGCATCCTCCTTAACATTTTTCTTTAGTAACGCGTCCTCAATAACTTTTTTTTGGGTGCCTCCTAACGTGGCCCACTAAGGTTTGTAAGAGCATCTAGAACCGGACATTTCATTTCCGCCCCAAACATTCGGCGGCCTGCCACTATTTGGACGCAAATTTAACACATATTCAAACTCGGCAAATTTGACACTCACGTCCGGACCGACCGACACTTCTGGTACTTGGCTCATATTTAGGACAGATATAGGCACGCCCGGACGCGCACACCATGTTGGCTCCGACAAGCCAAAAGCTACAAAATTACAGGCACACGATGCGCTTATTCTGTGTTCTTACCTGCGTATAAAAGGCTAAAAGCAAGAGAAAGCCAGATTTTTTAACATCTCAATTTTCAATTTGAATGTTTATTTATATATCATTCATTTTGCATCCATGTTTTAATGCATATGGAGTTTATATTATTGACTCAAGAAACTTTATGAAACTCATGGACCATAAGGGGGAGTTGAAAGTTATATGAATAAATGGTGAAGATTTGCGAAAGTTTTCAAATATTCATTTCCATTTATACAAATAAAATAAAGAGAGAAGAAAACATTACTTCTTCAAAATTAGAAATGAAATAGTGGAAATTGAAATTTGAGATAAAAAAATATTTATTTGGATTTGCTTGCAAATTATTTTATTGCTAATTTTATTAGTATAGCAAAAATATTTATTTTCTAAAATTGCGTTTAGGCATGTTAAAAAGTTTAGTCTTTTTCTGTGTTTGACTATTGCTGTAAATTAGAATTAGAAAAGATTTTGTTTAAAAAATGGGAAATCTAACGCAGGTCGGTGATAGCCGCCAGGCCCAGCCGGGTCCCGAGCTACGGCCCATCTCCACCCGCGGCTTGCCCTCGCCCGAACTCGCTACGAGTCGGTCTCCTGCACCCTCTCTATCTCTCGCTAGCCTCTCTCTCCTACACGCGCACGACGCCATGGCCGTTGTTCAACCTCGGGATTCTATCATGAGCGCTCGCCCCCTTCTCTAGGACTCATGTCCTATAAGTACCCACGACCCCTCTCATTCGACCCCCTCAAAAACCCCTCGCCAAAACCCTCTCGAGTCCACGTCCATACCATCCCAATCTTCGCCGGAGCCGAGCCCTTCCGTCGTTGTGTCCAATGCCGGTGACTTCCCACACGACACCTCGATCTGTCCATCGGTTTCCCTCGACCTTGCGCTTTGTTTTGACATCTTCAACAACATCATCTCCTCTAATACCCTAGTTCATCCCTTGTGTTCAATCTTGTTACCGGAACTATAGATTGGTGCTTGTGGGTGACTAGTAGTGTTGATTACATCTTGTAGTTGATTACTATATGGTTTATTTGGTGGAATATTATATGTTCAGATCCAATATGCTATTTAATACCCCTCTGATCTTGAGCATGATTAACATTTGTGAGTAGTTACTTTTGTTCTTGAGGTCACAGGAGAAATCTTGTTGCAAGTAATCATCTGAATTTTATATGTGTTCGATAGTTTGATGGTATGTATGTTGTGATTCCCTTAGTGGTGTCATGTGAACGTCGACTACATGACACTTCACCATATTTGGGCCTAAGGGAATGCATTGTGGAGTAGTTATTAGATGATGGGTTGCGAGAGTGAAGCTTAAACCCTAACTTATGCGCTATTCCGTAAGGGACCGATTGGATCCAAAAGTTTAATGCTATGGTTAGAATTTATTCTTAATATTTTTCTTATAGTTGCGGATGCTTGCGAGGGGGTTAATTATAAGTAGGAGGTTTGTTCAAGTAATAACAACACCTAAGCACCGATCCACCCACATATCAAATTATCAAAGTAGCGAACACAAATCAAACCAACATGATGAAAGTGACTAGATGAAATTCCCGTGTACCCTCAAGAACAGTTTGCTTATCGTAAGAGATTTTTTTGGCCTATCCTTTGCCTCAAAAGGATTGGTCTACGTTGCAGCACTTTTGTTACTATTATCGTTACTTGCTATCAAATTACTCACTACTTGCAATTTCAGTGCTTACCGGCATTACCTTGCTGAAAACCACTTGTCATTTCCTTCTGCTCTTCGTTGGGTTCGACACTCTTACTTATCGAAAGGACTACGATTGATCCCCTATACTTGTGGGTCATCAAGGCTCTTTTCCGGCGTCGTTGTTGGGGAGTGAAGCGCTCTTGGTAAGTGGAAATTGGTAAGGAAAAATTATTACTACGTGCTGAAATTTATTGTTACTTGTTACTATGGAAAACAATCCTTTGAGGGGTTTGTTCGGGGTATCTTCACCTCGACCGGAACCACAATTAGTTACCCCTCAACCTACTGCACCTACTGAAAATATTGAATATGAAATTCCTTCAGGTATGATAGAACAACTGCTAGCTAATCCTTATGCAGGAGATGGAACCGAACATCCTGACATGAACTTGATATATGTGGAAGAAATTTGTGGATTGTTTAAGCTTGCAAGTTTACCCTGAGATGAAGTTAAGAAGAAGTTTTTCCCTTTATATTTGAAGGGAAAAGCATTGGCATGGTATAGGCTATGCGATGATATTGAATCTTGAAACTGGAATTTATTGAAATTGGAGTTTCACCAAAAAATTATCCTATGCATCTAGTTTGTCGGGATCGGAATTATATATATAATTTTTGGCCTCGTGAAGGAGAAAGTATCGCTCTAACTTGGGGGAGGCTGAAGTCAATGTTATATTCATTCCCCAATCATGAGCTCTCAATAGAAATTATCATTCAGAATTTTTATGCTCGGCCTTCTCATGATGATCGATCCATGCTTGATACTTCTTGTACGGGTTCCTTTATGAAGAAGACTATTGAATTCCGGTGGGATCTTTTGGAAAGAATTAAATGCAACTCTGAATATTGGGAACTCGGCGAAGGTAAAGAGTCGGGTATTAAGCTTAAGTATGATTGTGTTAAATCTTTTATGAATACCGACGCTTTCCAGAAGTTTAGCACTAAATATGGACTTGACTTTGAGATAGTAGCCTCCTTTTGTGAATCTTTTGCTACTCATGTTGATCTCCCTAAAGAGAAGTGGTTCAAATATCATCCACCTATTAAAGAAGAAATTAAAGAACTAGTAATAGCTAAAGATGAAACTATAATCTATAATGTTGATCCAGTTGTTCCTACTGCTTATATTGAAAAACCACCTTTCACTGTTAGGATAAAGGAACATGCTAAAGTTTCAACTATGGTCAATAAAAGTTATATTAGAACACCTAAACCAGCTGAAAAAATCAAGGTAGAACCTAGTGTTGCTATGATTAAAGAACTCCTAGTTGAAAATATAGATGGGCATGTTATTTACTTCTGTGATGAAGCTACTAGAATTGCCAAACCCAATGAAAAAGATAAACATAAACCTATTGTTGGCATGCTTGTTGTCTCAGTTAAAATAGGATATCACTGTTATCATGGTTTATGTGACATAGGTGCTAGCGTGAGTGCTATTCCTTTTACCTTATATCAAGAAATTATGAATGACATAGCACCCGCTGAAATAGAAGACATAGATGTTGCTATTAAACTTAGTAATAGAGACACCATCACACCACTTGGGATTGTTAGAGATGTTGAAGTCTTGTGTGGGAAAATAAAATACCCTACTGATTTTCTTGTTCTTGGTTCCCCACAAGACGACTTTTGTCCCATTATCTTTGGTAGACCTTTCTTGAACACCGTTAATTCCAAAATAGATTATGAGAAAAAACTGTCGGTGTTAGATTTGGTGATGAGTCTCATGAATTTAATTTCTCCAAGTTTAATATAAAACCTCATAATAGAGAATTGCCTAGTAAGGATGAAATTATTGGTCTTGCCTCTATTGTTGTACCTCCTACTAATCCTTTAGAACAATATTTGCTAGACCATGAAAATGATATGCATATGCATGAAAGAAATGAAATAGATAAGATTTTCTTTGAACAACATCCTCTGCTTAAAAAATTTTGCCTATTGAAACTCTAGGAGGTCCTCCTCCACCTAAAGGTGATTCTGTGTTTGAATTAAAACAATTGCCGGACACTTTGAAGTATGCTTATCTTGATGAGAAGAAGATATATCCTGTTATTATTAGTGTTAACCTTTCAGAACATGAAGAAGCAAGATTATTGAAAGTTCTAAGGAAGCACCGAGCTGCTATTGGATATACTCTTGATGATCTTAAGGGCATTAGTCCCACTCTATGTCAGCACAAGATTGATATGG